CAATTATGTGTTACGAGAGAGCGATAAAAAACCTGGTTGGTCTTTGAATACAAAGTCAGGGCACAAGCAGGAGTATTACAGACACTTAACCACTGATTTTTATCAAAGGTTTGAAACTGTAGAGGATGTAAATTCAGTAAAGGAGAACATGCAGGCTTTCTTTTTTGTTAATACTTAGAAAGTTCAAGCGGAATTTAACCAGAGAAGATTTCCTTAGCTTTAATTTAGGGGCCAATCTGGATGATTATATATTGCCTGGTTTGAATCTGATACCTAAAGTGCATACATTGACAGAGAAAGCTGGTGTGGCGATGGAACCGTTGCTGGGCACGCTTTTCCTTTCCAAAGCTACGAAATGATTTAGGTGGTATGAAGTTTACATTGTAGAGAAAGTCATGTATTAAGGACAGCAGGGGCAAGGTTACCTTTATTAATCTCCTTTTTTTTATTTTATGGAAAGTAAACACAAAATTCAAGAATTTGCTTTGTACAAGGAGGCTTTCACAAGAAAAATGGCAAGATATTATAATTGATTAACTGTAGTTTGGTAAAATAAATCCAAAGTGCCTGGCGGCTGCCGGTTACAGTTTGAACAAATTGCGCGTGATGTGCAATGTCCTAAGCCCTCACAGCAAAGACGACATAATGCGGTCGTCCTGATTCTGCTGTTATTCAAACTGCAATAAGCTCGACCAATTTTTAACTTTTTAATTCGTTTCGAAAAAAACTGTTGATACCGCTCCAAAGCATCTCCTTTGTTGCTTTAATCTGTTACGTGTAGACCTTATCCTTTGTTGAAACCTTTTCGATATGGACAGAAAACAGGGCAGCTGACTCTCAAGTTAAAACAGGTGGGGATGTTGGAAGTTTTTGGACTTATGAGGTACAATTATCTATTCATTAAACATGGACTGGTGTTAGTCGATTTAGGCACGTAGGGTCAGTTCGCAAAAGTCTCACATGTATCCCATTTTCTTGGTAATTTTTATTGTAAATTAACATTGCAGTCACTAATATTTTCTCTGGTTTTGTTGTAGCCAGTAGAAGGAATCACACGAGCGACATATACGTTTGCATCGGCTAAAATTAAGGCATCATCCCTTAGGATGAAACGCCATCAAAATGCTTGTTAAAATTCATCTCGAATGATATTTTTCTGTTAGTCTTAATCTGTTTTATCGGTGTGGAGTGTAAAAGACGTTTATACTTGTTTTCAAACTATAATAGGCAAAATCCGTTTACCACTAACAGAATTCATGAGCACTTTCTAGTCTCCCGCTCCAATATTCTAATAGGCTGATTTAGCAACAGAACGGGAACTTCAATGGACGACTGCGCGCGCAAATCAAACAACTGGCTTGACCAATGGCAGAGCTGCAAATTGCGCACAGGAAGTCGAATTTAGTCCTTTCCCGCGCTTTCCCGTCGTCCAATGACGTTCCCGTTCTGTTGCTAAATCAGCCTAATATTTCAACAGCAACGAAGAAGGGTATTTTAAATGTGGCCGAGTAGAAGGAACTAAAAGCAACTAAAAGTTCAACTGTGCTATTTCGCTCAATTTGAGTCTTCGCAAAATAATATTTCTACTCTTGTTATTCGTAATTGGTAAATAATAGAAGAAAAGACTTTGTAAGGTGTACTACCCAAATCTGTTCGTGTTGCCCTGCTGGTGTAAATAGCTAGCCGCGAAGTGAAGGTCACCCGTACGGAAACTTATATACGTGGCTGTCTGCGCATACTAGTGTTGTAGTCTTGATAATAGACAGCAGACAATACAAAAAAACGCAAACTTACAAGGATTGTAGCTCAGGTAGATTGGAAAATATC